AGTCCAATTTAACTTTCAGTTCATATCAGCTATATACAATCCAGGTGCAACAAAGCAAAAAGCTGTTTAAAGTCTTACAGTTTGTTTTCTTTGCAAAGCAGCCACAGCCCGAGTAGAAAAGCCTGTGCCCTGCCAGCGTACTGCAGAGATGGACCCTTGCTCTCTGTGTGGAAGCAGTAATCTCTCTGCAGAATTCCGACACGCCCCTTGGCCAGTAAGAGCTAGAGATCTTCAATTAGCAGGGAGCATGAGCATTCAGTGAGACCTATAGCTTTACAATTAGCATGGCTCATGCTCCCTCCTGATTGGAGAGCTCTATCTCTGATTCACTAGGCGTGGAGGGTGTGTGTCAGACCTCTGCAGAGAGATCACTGCTTCTACACAGAATACAAAGACCCATCTCTGCAGTACGCTGGCTATGATTCAGCAGGGGGGGTGTCACACATATGCAGAGAGACCACTGCTTCCACAAAGAGAACAAGGGTCCTTTCCAATGTGCTGTCAGAGGACATGCTTTTCCACTCAGGCTCTGGCTGCTTTCTATAGAAAGGGAGTATGGTTTTGCATGTTGTGTTTTTTCTTCCGTCTCCTACACCACAAGATGACTTTTTTTTACCATTTAATATTTATAAAGTATATAAATATATATATATAATTATTTTTTTAACAATTAGTAGAAGTAACTAGTATCAGCCTCTTGCAATTACCTTGTTGGCCTCATTCACACGGGTAACGGCCGGCCTGTACAGATCCCTGCTGCGTTCACAGCCGTATCGGGCAGCTCCCAGGAAGGACAGGTACTGTGTGTGATTTGTACGCAGCAGCCTGTCCTTCTCTATGGGAGTATGCAGTCATACGCCGCCCTACGCTTACCCGACCTGCACGTCCATACGGGTGTGGGTGTCTGTACTCGTACACTGACAGGCTGGATCCTATCTGCGTCCGAGCAGGGACACACGCACCCGTACAAACGCGCAGGTCGGGTGAGCGTAGGGTGGAGTACGGCCGCGTACTCCCATAGAGAAGGACAGGCTGCTGCGTACAAATCACACGCAGTACCTGTCCTTCCTGGGAGCTGGCCGATACGGCCGTGCACGCAGCACTGATCTGTACGGGCCGGCCGTTACCCGTTTGAATGAGGCCTTAAACAGCACTCAGACTGGGAGACGCAGAGGCAGTACTTGAAGCCAATATCCTGCATGCAGGCAAATATGCTGAGAATTAATATGTGGATAGGAGTGGAGAACAGAAAGATGATCCCATCAGTCCTCTGCTGCTCCATAAGTTTCCAATCAACAGGCTGGGGAGGTGGATGACAACATAATGTTCCCAACAGAGAAAGTGGTGTCTGCCTGGCTGTGCTGTGTGGCAGGATTGTATAAATCTCAGAACTGGATGGGAGACATACAAATCCTTTGGCAGTTTAAACAGCTCACTTAAACATTTTCCATCTGTGTTTTAGCTGTTTGTCTGGAGTTCAGTTTTAACCTTCATAGATATGAACGAACCCTTAGCCATCTAAGACTGGAGTCTTCATTCACAAAGCTTTAACACAAGGATGAGGTTCTCTAATTTAGCCATGTGACTGTCATATTCAAATCTCATTTGACTCACCTGAAAAGAATTGTCACTTTTTGAAAATAATTATTAAATTATCTTTGTGTGATAGCTTTGTGAATTGAGCCTCAGGCCTCTAGATACAGGAAGTGTGTTAACAGGCCCGTCTTTAATATTGATCGGACCCTGGGCAAACATTTTCTTGGCCCCCCCCCCGGGGGCCCCACCACGAAA